AAAGCAGAATGTAAGTAGAGAACTGAGGATGTGCAAGACAAGGGGAATACACTAAAGAGGAAGGAAGAATAATGATCTATGTGAAGTCCAGTGTTGTAACACTGGCCAAATGTCCTTGGAAAATTAAAAATGACTTTTTTTTGGTAGGTAGAAACAATCCGACTTAATGTTTTGTTTCAAATGACTTAAAAAAAGTGTCACATGGGTAACACCAGGTTTTTCTCTCTTTTGTTGTCATACCCACTTGAGGTTTTCCTTAGCCTTTAGTATTAACTTCCTCTTGCAGCTCCTCTCTCAAAGTGAACCCTCTACTGAATAGTAAAGGACTTGGTTAGTGGTTTTTGGATGGCTGTCTGTGTTCAGCTGGGAGTCCACAATGGGGAAGAGTCTGTCAGTATTCGTACACTGACATTCCCTACTGATCGGAGTCCAGCATCAAACTTTTAGGTGTCTAAAGCTTTTACCCAACTAAACAAAAAACTAGGCTACTCTCTGCTCTTCCTTGGTTTCTTTTGGTTTTATCTATGATTTAATCTAAATTGTTAAATCTGTAGCTGATGCTAAAAACGAAGGGGGAACAAACAAGGATGGAACTAATTTACAAACTAGTGAGACAGATTTTGAGCCTTGGGGGCTGCAGGTGACCGGTTTAGTATTGATACACTATGTCCATTAACAAGCAGTATAGAGCACACACAAAATAGGTGTGAGGAGATGTAACCAAGCTTTTGCACCTGTTTTCTTAAAGCAAATTACTTTAATTTTGTCTGGTTATTGATGTCCTAACATTTACATTTATTTCTATAACTAAGCACTTTATTAGTTCCAGAGTAAGGTGGAATCCAAGGAGCAGCTTTGTCTTAAAGTGCTCCCACTCTCTGAAAACTTCATTTCGACAAAGCAGTTCTCGGGATCCATTTTGAAACAGAGAAGGGTGAAAGTGCCCCTTGGCAATAGGGATGAAAATAGGAAATCAGTAACCCAATAAACACCACCAATAACTGGTTAACCAGCAGCCCGGCCAGGCTGGAGTAGCCCCCTGCTGTGCTATGGCTAAGGAGCTGCTCCAGCCTGCCGAATCCTGGTTAACTGGTTAAACGGAATGTAACTTTTTAACCAGGATTTTATATCCCTGCTTGGCAAAGGCCAGGTGATCTTGTAGCAGAGCCTTGTGATGCTGCCAGCCTGTGGTTGCTCTTCCATGGAACTGTTATATGGGAAGATATGTTGTGAATTCTGTTCTGTATGAGGGATCTTAGCAAGTAGTCAACTGGAGTATTGACTACTTGCTCCCCCCGCCCTCCTTGTTGCCTCTCATAGAAGCAGCTGGTGGTAAGGAAGGAGCCAGTGCTGGGGAAAGCCAACTTAAAAGATGCCCCCCGCCCCACTGCCGCCCCTGTCCGCGGGGTTGCAGTGAGAAGCAGGGCTCCCCATGGACAGAGGCTGCCGCTGCCAAGCAGCCCGTTGGCAAGCAGCACAGGCTGGCCGTGTGCAGGGGTTCGTGCCAGAGCAATCTCTGTTTACGGTGGCCAGGGCTGGCCATGAGCAGAGGCTGCTGGACTCAGCACAAGCCGGGACTGAGCAGTAGTGGCTCACACTGGTGCGGGATGCTGCACCTCTACATTTTAAAAGTAGTAAGAGTCCAGTAGCTCTTGCTACATTTAAAACGCAGACTCGCAGCGTGGGTGGCTCTCGGAGCCAGCACGAGCCAGGACTGCTCTGCAGAGTGGTCCTATTGACTAATCATATAATCGATAAAATTTGTATTGACTACACAGTTTAGTCAGATAACAGCAATTTAACATCCCTATTCTGTACTGAACTGGTGTTTTCTTTGCCTTTCTTCCAGGGCACTGTCTTTAGTGTGGATTCTGAAGAAGAGGAATATCACGGAATCATTGCAGAGGACAGCAATGACATCTACATCCTAACCAGTGAAAACTCTGGACAGGTGAGCCCCCCTGAGTCTCCCACAGTGACTACATCTTGGCAATCAGAGAGCCTGCCTGTCTCTTTGTCAGCTAGCCAGAGCTGGCACACAGAGAGCTTGCCGGTATCCCTTGGACCTGAATCCTGGCAGCAGGTGGCTATGGATCCAGAAGAGGTAAAAAGCTTAGACAGCAATGGGGGTGGTGAAGAAAGGAGTGAAAATAACTCCTCCAACTCGGACATTGTTCATGTGGAAAAGGAGGAGATACCAGAGGGGATAGAAGAAGCAGCAATGTCATCGGTGGCTCTGGAGACTAAGACTACACATGAGGAGTTCCCAGAAGCCTCCTCTCTGCTGGAGATGAAGTCTGAAGCTGAGATTGCAGCTGTTGAGAAAGCAAGCCCCCCTTCACCTTTGCTTACAGAACACGAGGAAGAAGGAAAGGTGGCCGAGGAGCCTGTTGAACCAGGAGTCCCAATGTTGAGTAAAGGTATCCAGAAACCAGCTGCATTGGAAGAGAAAGCTGCACCGGAGAAAATACTGGCACCAGGAGAGGAAATGAAAGTGGGGAAGGAGAGCCGTTCAGAAGAAATGAAAGAGAAATCCCCAGCTGGAGAGGAGAAACCCATCTTGTTGCCAGAAGGCAAATCTATACTGCTGTATGGTGGGGCTGCTGCAGTGGCTATTCTGGCTGTGGCAGTGGGAGTAGCACTGGCATTGAGAAAGAAGTAGCAGGGCTCTCTTGCCGAAGAGGAGGAATCCAAATTTTTAGTTGCATTAACTAAAAGTTGAGCTGCCTGCTGTTAATTGGACATTTATATAACTTAAAAATGGTGATGGGGTGTGGTTATTTGATAAGACTAAGGCTATGGACAATCATGTTTTTAGAAGAATTGGGGCGGAGACTGGTTTTTTTTCCTGATTTAAAGTACAGGGATACTTTAAAAATTCTGCAAATTTCAGAACTGAGAAGTAGGTGCTGAGAAAAGGGGGTGCTTGTACACTGGAAACTGGAACAGAAAGTTCCAGGGGCAGGAGAGGGCTGGTTGCTGCTAACCCCTGGAATTTTTAGCTTCCCCGACTGAGCTGCTATTGCAGCTACCCTGTCTTGTCACTTTCCTTTGTGTGCCCCGTAAGCCCTCTTAAAAACAAACATACAAAATAAACCAGCCACCTTAATCCTGTAGCGTGAGTCTGGTCTCACTTTTGTCTCTGCTTCCTCTCAGGTACTGCACTGCTCCTAACCTCCTAGGTTCCTTCTAAACCGTAGTGGGAGAGTGCTCATACTATACCTCTTTTCTCATGCCTCTGTTTCGCCCCTTATGCTTCCTGAAGCTCCATCTTGTAAAGATGCTGCCTCTATATATCTGTTTTCTCTGAGTGCTTTGGTGGTGGGGACATGCACAGGCCACCAACTCTGCTACAAAGAGTGTGGGGTAGATACGCTTACTGTTTGCTGGTCTGAGAATACCTTTGGGTCCCTCCTGTGCATACCATGTTACTGCCATAGATCAGTCACCAGAGAACATAACTCTCATGGTGGGTCACTGTGCCACTTTCATAAAGATCTTGATGTTAGTGCTCATTAAGTGGATTAAATATGACTACCCAGGATTATAACTAAATTCAGAATACTAATGTGAGGCTGACATCTGCTGTGAAATCAAAGGTTAAATCGTTCCTTTGTCGTCATCCTGGGTGCAGTTCTATATTTTTTGCATGATTTATGCACAGCGTGTATTTAGTCTTAACTTAGCCTTGGTTGTGACAAACTGACAGAATCCTTGATATTCAAAGTAACAGAGGCTGGTAACTATACCAGACAGCATTAAATATTTCCTTTGTTTGCCTGTGGCTTCTGGCCCTAGGGTGAGTGACATTCTGGGAGCAAGTGTGGTGCAGTTTCCTAAGTTTTGCGCACTACACAAAAGTAATTGGTAAATGTACTTACATACTTTGCAAATTCAATAAATGATAACTTTGGAAAAGAAATCTAGCCCTCTTTGTCACAACCTTTCTTTTTAAAATTTACAAGTGAAATCTTTAAGGTATTACACCATGTATAATAGTTGGCTCAGATCTAACAGGAGTGTTCCTATTTCATAGAGTGTGTGCACATGAATGTATGTATGTACTGCAGCTTTATGGACATGGTCTTTGATTCCCTAGGTAAAACTGCTGGTTTCCTTTCGGTGTTTATGCTGGCTCAGGATAGATGGAGGTAGGTGAAAAGGAACGTGGGATAAAGTAAAAATGAAACCATTCTATATGCTTTTTAAAGCATAAGACAACCTATTTTATTTCTGACAATCTTATTTGCTCCCTAGGATGTAATGGACCTGTCTTTTATTAAGAAGGGAGCTGAGAATACTGTATTGCTTTGTTGTGAACTTTTTATTTTCACAGTTAAAAAACATTTATCTCTCTGTCCCTCCCCATCCCAAACTGCTGGCAGTTGACAAAATCCAGCAGTCCAGGAATTTCGCGCACTAATTTTGAGCTAGGGTGGATTTTGTGGTTGGTTTCTAGAGGTCTTGAGAGAATTTTTCTGAGGAACAGGGAGAATGGTGGGAAAAGGGTTATTAAAAATGGTGCCATGACTGTGGAAGGAACCTGCTTAGTTCAGGAATTTTGGACTCTGCTGATCACATCCCTGTGTTACTGTATATAAATGGGGCTCCTTTACTCCATAAAAAAATTTGTAGCAGACTGGTCTTAGAAATCTTTTGTTATAAAATGGAACTAGTTATTTTCTCAGCCATTTCCAGGCACTCTGATTGAGATTCTCGTTGCTGTGCAGTGAGTGTGCAGAGTTGTCATAGCAAGTACTGCCCCATACTGTATAATTTTTTCCATGGGGATACAGTTACAATATGACATTGCTGTTTCCCTCCTCCTTGCATAGCTTCCTTCTCTTACCTCTCACCTCAGAGCTCTCTGCTATGGATATTTGATCAGAACGAGCCCACTATTACTCATATCAGACATGATACAATTTCCCATTTAACTTACTGAAATCACTAGCATTTAAAATTGAGCCCAGTGAGTAGAAATTGTCCCAACCACAGTGGAGATTTTACTGTTCAGTGTTTATAGTTTCTCCTCCAGTGTTGCTCTATTGCTCTATTCTTCTGTTACTTAACTTCATCCACATCCACATCCATGTGGTAGGTCCTTTCACTTGTCTACAAATAGCTGCTATGTCTTCCTTCCCCTGCATTCTCTTTGTAGGCTATACTTATGGCTGGGCTAGGGGTTGCTGTCATCTTACTAGTGACCGTGAAATCTTGTCCCTAAGGAAATAATATTTTTAATCTTGGCAAATTTGGGACAAGAAAGCCCCGTCTTCAGCATAGTGGGTGCTAAAATTGTACTCAGATCTCTTAACTGATAGTTGAGGCGGTTTCCCTGTGCGTTTTGGATATCTTTATGCAACTTTTGAAGTGTGCTCTTCATGCACACGTTAAAAGTTCCCAGTGTTAGATACTCATACTAGGGCTGGAGAAGTTTGTTACACCGTGATGGTAGAAGATGTTTGTTTCAATTTAATACATGCTTGAGCCTTGTCTTCCTACTGATGTCAATGTAGTAGAAAACTCTCTCCTCCAGTCTGCAAGAAACTACTTTTCTACTCAGTACAGTTTACCTTAACTCTAGTTCCACACTGACAAAGGAAGAGGAGAAGGCAGTGGCAGCAGCAAATAAATTTGTGGTTTAGGATTTTATTAAATATTTCCCATCCCCATCAAGAAAATGCTCAGGGCCTTGGTTTACTTCTACTTGTTGAGAAGCAGCCACAAGCCACAATCCCTGTTTTTTTGGATTCTTTACTCCCTGATGATGCCCCTCATCAGTTTTTAGTAATAAATTACAACTGGGAAAATAGTCTCCTCCCACATTAGATTATAAATTTGCTCATCTCCATTGGTTTCCACTAAGAATGCTGACTTCTGCTGTCTGAGTTTGAAGCAGTTGTAGTCAATCCTAGAGCTCTGGTTATTTGAGGGGCAGATAAGCTTAGAGTACAGTTTTAGTTGTCATTTGTTTGCTCTAAGGCTGATTTTGGGTTAGGAAACTGGTAGACTTGCTCTCTCTCAATGTACATTGAGGCAATCCTAAACTGAATGTCATAATGATTTGAAATGTGCTTACCATCTCTCCATGATAGAAAACTTACAGTTGGTAGAGGGGAAGAAACTACTTGTGTCATTCACTGTAAAGTTATGTTTGTTGTCATTTGCATTACTTGCCCTCATCCTCCTTTCCAAAATTAAGTGCCTCAATGGGTTTTACCTTAGTGAATTTTCTACTTTGAACCCCTTCTTACATCTCTCTACGTCTGTCGGCTGCACATCGTCAAGCTAACCACCAAGCACTTAATATTTTTTAGCTATTAGAGTGCTTTACAAAAAGAAAATATCTGCCTCTGCCCTCCTTTTCACTGAGGGAGGAATTAAGGCTTGAGGAAAGGAGAGGGCTTGGGCACCCTAAGTCAGACCCAGAGGAATAGAACATGTAGCATGCTTTGTTTTATCTAGACTATGTTGCCTACTACAGCAGCAGTTAGTCTCAAATAACGGCTTAGGAGGCCTTTAGTAAGCACAACCCATACCCCATGGCCAGAAACTATTTTTGGAAGATAGCTTTGTGTTTGATATTAAAAAAGAAACAATACCCCACCCTCCTAGCACAGCTGTACTGCTAAAAACGGCTTTCAGAACTCTGCATGAAAGTGCAGATCTTTCCCTCTGAAATTGCCTATACAGTCCCTGAAATTGCCTTCAGGAAGCTGAAAGCAGCAGAAGCTGTATGTTAATTTAAAATTAACAAATGTATAAAGAGGCAAGAGTGGCATTACTCTGACCCTGGCTATAGTCTTGCTTGAGATCTCAGTGACGGTAGTTCCAGAGAAGAATGTGCTCATTTTGAACTATAACCAGTTTGCTGTGGGACAGATACTTCACAGGACTAATGACTGCAGGTATGGCAGCTCTGTAATGTAACCCATTGAAGTAGGAGCCTTTGAAAATCATATGCAGTTGTTTGTGTTGAGATAATCACATCTGCTGAGGTTTAAATTATGGCCAGATGAGTAGATATTTAGCTGGAAAATTAAAACTACAAACAGCTTGGAACATGTCATTAGCAGATCTACAACTATGTCTAAGACAGCTGAACATCTGATATAGTCTGTGTTGATTGCTTTGCTTTTAAAGGATTTTCTGTCGTTTTAATTGATCCTTTCTCCCATTTACAGTTGGCCCTCCTTTGGTCCCATAGGCACAGTGCAACTAGTATCCATTGCTCCCTTGCAGCTAGTTACCTGAAGTCATGCTGTAGAAGGGAGCTTTGATGTTTAGTTAAAATCTGCATTAAAAGCAGCTTGAGAGATTCTTGCTCTAGCTGCTGGGAAAGTGAATCATCAGACACAATGCTGATTTGGGCAGCGCAGGTGGAATTATAGTGGTAAGCAGTTGTGTGTGTGTCTCCGCTCTTCTTGGTTTTCTGATTTAACAGTACAAGAGTATATAAGCAGCAAACTTTAATGGTGTATTTTGCATTTCTGGAAAGGAAGATACTGTCAGCTGACTTGCAAAAGATGCCTTCAAGTCTTCTCCCAACTCACTTTCTTTTAACAGGCAAGTGCAGCATGTGGGGGTGGGGGCAATAACCCAATGGCACAATAGGTTTCAGACACTTTAATTAAAATATTGTTTCCACAGTGTTAAAATTCTCTCCAGCAGTCTAAGTGAAAATTATGTACATTTTTTCTTAATGGGACAATGCTGTAAGACTATAGCCCCAGCTTGCACTTTAATAAATGGTACAATTTTCAAAAACAATGTGTGTATCTGTTCTTATGCTAGTTCACGTCTGTCCTCTGCATATGCCAGCACAATGGCATTCCAGTAATTCAGATCCTCTTCCCTAAGCTAGCAGTATGCTGGTTAACTTGAGGTAATGGTGCAGGCTGGATTGCTTGTTCCCTTTGGGTGCGCAGCAAAATTCAGCTAGCCACTATCCAACGGTTCTTTCCGTTCCACTAAAAGAAAAGACTCATTTCCCTTTATAAAATCCAACAGCTGAGAAGAGATTAAAGTGTTTCCATTTTAGAGGGGACAGCAGAAACATTTTTAAAAGATTGGGAGTAAATGTCTTAGGACAATGGCATTCAGTTTCATCACTTCCTTGCACACTTTGAAAATGGACAACAGGTATTTACAGTAGCACTACATTTTATTAAGTATAAAATATTTACAGATAATGTGAGGAACAGCAACTCATGTAAACCGTCAAGTTGACACTGCATTCCTGGTAGTCCCTCTAGCACAGGTTCTAGCTATGCAGTAGGTCCTCCATGGAAATTAAAGCTAAAGTATGTTAAGCTCAAGTATACCCAGATGAATGTTAGCTGACCTGATAATATCATTCAATTCTGTTGCATTTCTGTAACTTTTCACATCTCAGTCAGATACCTTCCAGAGGCTCAAAAGAATAATGGAAGAAGACCCTGTCCTCCCCTCATTGCAGTGCCTAGGGGTAAAAAAACCTGAGCATGTAGTTTACTCAAGAATAGCTCTTCCCAGCCTGTATTTGTAAAGGTATGCCTTCACAGGAGGTGGCTGTGGATAAGGGAGTGCTAAGTGGTTGTCTCAGTCTAGTCAGCACAGTATGAAGTGAAAAATTTAGCTTAGAGTGCTGTAGCTATATTACCCTAACACAGCTCACTCAGTGGAAGAATTGATGGCTGCTCAGAGATGGATTACCTACCATAGTGGGGTGGGAAAAAGCTTGTCCGAGGAATCTATGCTGCATTAGCAATGCCAGCACAATATGTGCAGTAGAGATATTTTCCTAAGATCTGCTTTTACAGGGCACCCTAAACATTTTGCAGTTAAGGAAAATTGTGGAATAATATTGGAGGCATGTGTGCCTACAAAGACAATTCAGAGGGAAAAACTAGGGGGCTCAGCACAAAAGAACCATAGGATGTACCACAAGACCTAACACCCCAGAAAAGAGAGCACAACTAGAAGGATGGGTGTACCATGTGGATGCTCACAGCTGGGGTAAGCCAACACAGCTGCTGATCTCATGGGCTAACCCTGCAGGGAAGACATACCTTAACTGGATTAAAGGCTCACTGCCAACATATCCCCACTGTACTGGATAATGAGCTAAAGTTTCAGTAAGCACAACTGAGTGCAATGCCAACTGGCACTTCCTCCTACGACTTACAGGTTTGCACCAGCACCAAGTTGCATTCAATATTTGGTAGAAGACAGTAACAGGCAAGCAATACTCCTACATATTTTAGTCAAAAAATTGCAGCGCTTGAAACACTTTTCCTCTGCTGATCTCTGAAAAGCCTAAAGACCTAACTAAGGGGTTATGCTTCCCCTTTGCAGATGCATTGTAAAAGAATTTAAACACTGGGGGGGGGGGGAAAGAGGGGAAAGCAAAGTTTTAAAGTAAATACTCAAGAAGCAATCTTCTCTGGGAAAGGCAATGGCATGGATCCTGCTCTCGTCCAACTCTCTAGGAAAAAAACAGAACCAGGGTTAGTGAAGGCAATAAGCTAAAACAGCATATACAAACTCAGTGAAATTCCTGTAATTCTTCCCTGAAAGGACAGATAGCGCCCCCCCCCCCAAGAAGAGTTAATCCAGCCCTGAATGCTACTAGATTTGGGGGGGGGGGGGCCCTGGGATAAAGCCAGAATTGGGGAAGGGAGGGAAATCAGTGGGTAGGTTGTGTGGCATAAGGGCAGGAGGACATTAGGGTGCAGGATGTTTACCTGGGGCAGCTCTCTTTTGGTGGTGATGGAGAAGCAGGGTCTGCCTCCTGCAGCCAATGGGAGCTGCGGGAGTAGAGCCTGCAGGCAAGAGCAGCTCCAGGATAGAGCTTCCTGTGGTGATGCAGCTCAAGGGTGGGAGGAGGAGGAGGGGAGCAAGGGCAGTGCCACCCAGCACCAGCCCAGGAGCTTTAGCCCCTAAAGCCTCTTTCTTAATCCTGCCCTGAGAGCAATGGAGGGACAACCTAAACATTTAAGTCAGAAGGGTTTGACTGTCACACATTCACCACCAGGCAAATGGAGAAGTTTTAAAAAGCAGCTAGTGCCAAACCCTGCCTTGATTTACATCACCTGGAGAGAGGGAATTTGCTATTGTTTCTAGCCTTTTTTTATACTACCACCTCATTTGTGTGATCATAGTAACATACGTTATTGGCCCTGGTATCCAACCAGTTCTGGAGTAATAGCCACTGTAGTGGCTACTGCTATTGCAAACAAGCCACACTCAACTGGCCCAATGTCCAACATGGTAGCCACATGTGGCTTTGACAGCTTTATGGCCTTGCTGGGAAATTGGTGCTATTTATGACTACACCTGCCTGATTTGTCATTTTATGGTCTGATCTACACTATAAAGCTTTTCCAACATAATTTTGTTGAATAGGATTGGCTAGTTCCCAAGGCAATAAAGACTGAGGAATCTGTTTCTGCAGTATTAGCCTGTAGGGAACTGGCTCTGACATACTCAGTAGCAATAAGCTGCCCCAAAGCCATGCATTAAAGTTTGAGTCACCTAAGCAGTCTCTCTTTCATTTGGCCTTGTACTACCACTCGAGGTGGCGGGTGGGCATTGATAACCCCTAACACCTGCTAGTCAGTATTCAGACAATTATTGTGGCCAACAGTCTAAAATATCATTTGCTGAAACAATATGGTCCAAATCCCAACCCCACTTCAAACCCTGAGTAATAGGACTATGCAATGGGGATCCTCTCCCCAAAGGCTATGGGGCTGCTCCAGAGTCACAGCCGTATGTCCCACAACTGATGTGCCCTACTGTGTTTGTGCAGGAGAGAGAACAGCTTGTGGATCTGAATAACTCCTGAAATGCTGCCCCTGCTTCTGCCCAACTCCCAAGAAATCGCACCAGACTAGAATGCAGTTCAGCTCTACAATACAGATGGTACTGACCACCTCCCCAAGATCCCTGCCATCCACACCTCTCCCTCTGCAGCCATGGAAGTACCAAAGAGCAGACTGGGGGGGGGGGGGGGGGGGGGGGGGGT